ATTCTTATTCTGATACGCCCATCCAATCCATCTCATGTCTATTCTTATTCTTATACGCCCATCCAATCCATCTCATGTCTAATCTTATTCTGATACGCCCATCCAATCCATCTCATGTCTATTCTTATTCTGATACGCCAATCCAATCCATCTCAAGTCTAATCTTATTCTGATACGCCCATCCAATCCACCTCATGTCTATTCTTATCCTGATACTCCCATCCAATCCATTCTATTCTTATTCTGATAAACCCATCCAATCCATCTCATGTCTATNATTCTTATTCTGATACGCCGATTCAATCCATCTCATGTCTATTCTTATTCTGATACGCCCATCCAATCCATTCTATTCTTATTCTGATACGCCGATTCAATCCATCTCATGGCTATTCTTATTCTGATACGCCCATCCAATCCATTCTATTCTTATTCTGATACGCCCATGCAATCCATTCTATTCTTATTCTGATACGCCGATTCAATCCATCTCAAGTCTAATCTTATTCTGATACGCCCATCCAATCCATCTCACGTCTAATCTTATTCTGACACGCCCATTCAATCCATCTTGGGTTTATGAATAATCCATAATCCTGGTTGACATTTTGAAAATAATCCGTATTTCAATTTTGTAACCAAATATAGCTAAAATGAATGACCAATAAAGCCGGTAATAATTCGCAAATTTGAAATACAACACAAGCAATCCGTAATGTTTAATGCGGAGCCATCGGTAATGTATTCCTTATCTGCGTCCCTTCTCTAAAAAAACCCTGAGGGATTTTCCAGACGCGCGCCAAAAACATTTTTCATAAAAACATGTTTCTTAGAAAGTGACTGATATTTTGGTATAAGAGAAGTGAATGTCTTTTAGCATACGGCCCATATCTGACATGTAAATTACTGATAAAAAACCTTTATTTTAGCCGCATTTTGTCTCGACTAAGTTAGCACCGTATGTAAGTCGCATGATRACATCGTCAAATGYAATGACCTCGRAAATCAAAAATACCRTGATGTTCAGGATTATCAAATGGATGTAAAATCCCATTGGGCTTTCATTAAGGATGTTTGTTGCTTTGCTCTGTACTATCAAAGGCTTCGTTGTTTGTGCTATGACTTTGTTGCAGTTGTCTTTGAATTCACACCACCGAGTGCACTTTAGGGTTCCCAYTCTCTCGTCGCAGCYAGCACGCATGTGTTTTTGCCCGCATCCCATTGTTACCGTCCACTTTCCATATCTGGAGAACAAAACAAAAGAAACTTTATTTACTTTAGGCTGCGTTCATAAAGTATGGCAGAGGGGGGAGGGGGGCAGGTGAAAATTTGAAATGCCCAGAATAATCAAAGTCATGCAAAAAAATACGAT